CCTAGGGCCCCACATTTCCTAAATCCACCCTTGCCTGTAATTAGGAATTTGCCTAACTTATGCTCCAGTTAGATTCTAACTTAGTCTGCACCTTATCAGGAAAACATTGAATGTTGATATGATTACTGAATACTGCGATGAGGATATCATTTACATTTTAATCCCTTTTGTCCCTCCTATCTTTCCTTACACATTTATACTTATTGTCCGTACACTCAGCTGTTCATACGAAGTCAAATGGATACATAGAGTGCAACAGCAGCTTAAAAGAACACAATAAGGAATGTAAACAAAATGAAAAGCTGAATAAATCTCATTAATATTGGTCCTGTGAATTGGGATGAATTGTAATAACAATCATGGAAGCATAGAGCATTTGTTTTGGAAGATGAAGATTATGAAATATGATCCAGAGTTATATTTATAAACAAATATATGTCAGTTACTTGATGTTTTCCTGAACAAATGGTGAGTTAGAAAGCTTATGATAAGGGCTCTGTTGTCGAGATCACATCTACTTCAGGCAATTAAAGCAGCAGAACAGAAATCTCCTTTCATTTCCTGACAGATAGAAATCAAAGCAACCGAAACCTTTTCCTGCTTCTCTACGACATCTATAGGCCTGCTCACATTAGACATTTGACTGAGCGTTGCTTGACATAATTGCTTCCATACTGGGTATTTTTATTTTCTATTCTTGTTTTGTTTCTTAATACCAACATTTTTGTCAGCATGACAGGAATAAACAGATGGCTGATCAGCCTACCAGCTGGATTGTGGACAGCAATACTCATCCAAACTCGACAGCTTGTGTGATAATTCACAAATGGCTGTTTCGGTATTTGCAGTGATCTATTTGCAAAAGAAGTGGAGTGATTGGAATCGTGTCACGTTCCTTTCATTATAACTCCTCCAGATTATCCTTTGTGTCTCAGGAGAATCGCTTCAGTTAATGTTCCGTGTTAAATATTTGCCACAGAATCGTATGCGGTTCGTTTCTGTTATTAAGCTGCTGAGTAATGAAGAGTTGGCAGCCTTGCTGCTGTTACAGATCCCACACTGTGCATGCTGGGATGAGCTGTTTAAAGAGTGACAGTTTTTCTAACGGCATGCCTGAGCAATATTGGAGAAACTGCTTACATTAGCCAAGAAAACAAACGTGAATGGTAAATAGTTTGTCGGGGTTTGTGGTTAGATTTCCTTTAAAAAAAAAATACAAAAAAAAAAACCAAGATAAAGATAGTCCAGAGGCAGCAGTTTTCTGTACGGCCACTAACTGTTTACTTCATGTTGCATCACAATTTGAACGTCTTAGTCATCTCACTTGGATATCCTCGGACCTTTTGTGTAAATCATTTTTTAAAATCTCTACTCGGACAGTGGTGCACCTCAGCAGCTGGAAGTAAAGCTTATGGTTGAGTGGTTTGTTTACGCAAACCCACACACATTTCCCAAATGCCTGTAGATTTGGTTTGACTTTTCTTTTTTAAATTTATACATAATCTTTTTCTTGAGTGGACTGCTTGAGATTCATGTAAATTTTGACAAACATTTTGGTGCCACGCTGTGGTGAATCATCGTTCCCAGAATGTTTTTTTTTTTTTGCAAAGAGCGCTGCCGGCAATCAACAGCTTTTATTTCTCCAGATTCATTAAAACACAGCGAGGCAGAACCGTTGGAGAGTCGGTCTTGCTGGGTGATGCTTGACGTTCCCATGAGAAACCATCATTATTATTATAAACTCTTGCAGCTTATTTCCATCATTTGTTTAGAGCTTGATAATTACTCCCTCTGGTGGAAGATTCCCCCGCTTATCACCAGTTGACTTATGTGGAGTTTTACTGCCATCTCGCAGCACAAACTCAATCAACATAATCCCATTTTCTCGCTTTGCCAAATCGGTGTCAAACACGGGAGACTCTGGTCTCCTAGCAACTAGATTAAGGTCTCCACACCCTGTTTGTTTTTTTTTAAAAAAGGGCAATCTATAGGTTGCATTTTTATTGAGTTACCTTTAAAAGACACCAAGCACTTATCCAGTGTTACAAAGATGGACATGAAAACCTCCCTCCTATGCAGACGGTCAAACTAGAAATGTTTGAAGGTTTAAATATTTTTGGAGACATTTGCAGTTTTTAAAGATTGACTAATACCCATTGTTCCTTTCCTAAAAGATTCCAGAAAACATGGGAATCTGTAGTTAGACATCCTGCCTCTGAAAGGAGACTTTCAGCTGATTGTAGTGTCTGTCAGAAACTTACTGGGAGTAATTGGACAGTTAAATAAGCTGGGCTGGCTCCTATTAAAAAGTGTTTCTACACAATAGATGAAAATAAAATTGCTGTGGAACATAAATAGGGCAATGTTATATAGAACGCTGCATACTGATGGTTGAAAATGATTTGATGTTAGTATTGCCTCTAGCTGTATATTCAGGGTTTTTTTCCTCTCCCATTTTTAGGTCTTTGGACATTTTTATATTTTTTATTTAGAGGGTTGCCCTGTGGTTATCTAACCTGACTCCGCCAGATGGATTTGCTCCGCATATCCATCTGGAAACCTTCCGTTCAAGTAATTTTGGGTTAGCTGATTGGCCTATGTTGGTGATAGACGGGCCAAATAAACCAATCAGATCAACGAAGCATATGATGTACTAACAGAGCGACGACGAAAACAAAACCACAAGCCAATTGATAGATTAAACTCTTGCCGAAACCAGTTGGGAGAAGAGCAAAATACTCTGTAATTCCGATAAAACTTGCTCGATAGCCTCGCTAACGCTAGTTTCATCTGCTGAAGCCGCCATGTTCTTTAGACTGAACTGTCCCGCTTCTCGTTGCGTCACACCTCAACCCGCCTCAAAGCCAACGCTGATTGGACGTTCGTTTGGTGAACGGCTCCAAATTTTCTTCAACGGAGAGTCTCCAGACTGATCTGCAAGTGAAACCTTGAAAGCTCGCGAGATCAGGATGGTCTCACGAGGCTAGTGGTTATCCCCATTCTTGTCCAATTCGACCTGTTTCTTTGGCCAGGCTTCAGAAAACCATGGCCACAGCATGATGCTTCCACTGTCATACCTTATTATGGGGATTTTGCATTTGGCTTGATTTTACCTAAGTACTTTTCTACACACGTCTGCTTTGTTGCTGCTGCAGTGCTTGTAGACAACTGCAAGCAGGAGGTCATATTACTTTCATTCATCTGTGGTTTTCTTCTTGCCAGATTTATTGAGTGCGCAATTCAAGTTGTTTATTCAGTGACTCCCTGCAGCCCCTTCAGGGTTACCGTCAGCTTTCTTGGTCAGTCGTTCAATCTTTTTCGGTTTTGCCATTCCATCATACCTGCAGAAACTTTTCATTTTCAGCCGCTGACTTTTGCATTTTTGTGTAGAAATGAGCTCTGTGGGATTTTCAAAGCTAAGGGTGTTATTTTCAAACCTCCCCTGCTTTATTCCTGACTTTTCGTTTGTGTTTGTTGTTTTTCTTACAGCTGATTGTTAATTAATGTTCTCTAACAGCCATCTATGGCCTTTACAAAAGAGCTGCAGTTATAGTCATATTACATTTCATACAGGTTATGGCAAATAGTTGCATTGGATTTTCTTTTATGGGTGTAAATTAGGAGGCTAAATGCAAACAGAATTGCACACATCCAGATTTTTGTATTAAACAAATTCTGAGCTTCTTCATAATGAATGAATGACACAAATGTTTCTATTGTTATCTATCTACAGGTTTAAGGGGTGGGAATACTTCCTCACTCTCTCTCAAACTTATTTTTTAATACATTGACAATTCGTGCTGTTACTTCGGTTCCAATTCCTTCTTGGTTTCTTGTTCGTTGTCTGAAGTGTGAAGTCATGGTAACAGCACAAGCCTAACAACCTAAGCCTGTCTCAGCGCTGGGTTACTGTCTCTCCCATGGGTGGGACATAGTGAAGCTGCTGTTTCTTTGTAATGTTTGCCAGAGATCTTGCAGCCTGGAGGTCGTTCTGTTAGGTTGGGCGGCGCTGACGGTAGAACCAGTCTGTGTTTGAAGATTTCTGCACCATTGGAGGACGATATAAGTGGAGTAGCTTTTGCACATTTCCATCCATGGATTTGGTAAAAACTGAAGGATCTCAGCCGGTCTACAGCCGCTGGTCATACAGGTTACATTTTCTCTTCATTCAGTATATATTTCTATTTTGATTTTATGAAAGACGATGTTGCCAAAGTGACATTTTCGAAATTAATTGGACCAATATTCCTTCTCTTCTACCAAACTATTTGTATTTTGTTATTTGCTAGAAAGCAAAGTTGTTTTTAGACAGAACTGAAGCCTTTTTCTTTATCCACATGTTGCCGTATCTCCCTATCTAATCAGCTGGCTGGTAGACAGACTACCTTGCAGTCCACTCTTGTACCTCTTGCTCATGTTTCTGCCATCATGTCGTTACTTATTCAAAGCACCAGCTTGTGACTGTGCTTGCTGTAACTAGAGTTGGTGATTTGTGCCTATCCAACCTTCTGAGAGAGTGTGTGGGTGGGTTAGTGTGTGTACTGTTGGCTGCATGGCTGACTTAAACAAGCATGTAACTAAAATTCACACAGTATCCATCAGTCTTACTACTGAAAAATGAATGTGTCCTTTAGGTATGCCTTAAAACATCTCAATTTTCAGGAAATATTACGTTCTCTTCCAGTTATGCCATCTAATAGTCTCCTAATTGAACAGATGTATTATTAATTGAATACATTAACCTAATTTAATGCATGTATGGTGAGGTGTCTGGTTGCAGACAGCTAAGTGCAAAAAGATCGGCTTCAAGGTACATGTACCTCTTTCTATTTAAAGCATCCATCCATCATGCAAACACACTTATCCTTGCAGGTTAATGGGGAGCCGGTTCCTGTCCCCAGCAGTCAACAGGTGACTGGAAAGACTACCATGCATACTGGGACCCATTTAGCTAAAAACTGATTGTGGTAGGAAGGCCAGGTGACCAAAGAGAACCCATGCATGCACATAAACATTCATTTTCATACAGAATGTGATAAGATACGGATGATGTCAAAAATAAGGAAGAAAAGCCCCTCAGAAGGAGTCGGAACAGAGGACGGAAAACACCTTCAATGCATTAAATTAAATTGATAAAAGTTTCTAACTAACACTAACGTAAATCCTCTGACAACGCAGTTTCAAGTTACACATAAAAACAGATGCTTTGTTTTGTTTAACAGTTTCTCACCAGAGGGAGACTAAATATATAGATCAAACAGAGTCTATACTCCCTGGAGTTGGACATCTAGACATAGTGAAGGCGACTTGCTGATCTTCAAACAGAACGATACAGACAGGATTAAAAAGACTCAGAACAGGGCATTTTGTTTCAGAAAATGCTGATCTATGAGGATTCAAACTTAATCTAACTTCTATGGTTTGCATAGAGCATTTGGAAAAGAGAAAATATCTGCTAAGCTGCTGTCGTTTGGACAAAAATGCCTTGTTCGCTGCAGAGGTCAGAGGAGGCAGCGTGGACTTGTATATAATGATAGATTGGCAATGGAAATGTAAGGAAACCATAGTAAAAAGGTATGTAAAACTTTATAACAGCGGCAGGAGACCCTACTAGATGCTACTTCTGTTAGCTTAGAACAGGAATGCTAGGCTACTGGGACAGAGTCACCAAACCTGTACCAGAATGGATAAAGGACGTGACTCTTGATTCAAACATTTAGATGATAGTTTGTTAATCATAACATATGAGCAGGGACCCCTATTATATCCTACAAGGATATTTTCTTTCTTAAAAAGAACATAGTGTTAGGGTTAGTTACATTTTTTTCCCCTTGATGTTTTGAAATGTCCTCATGAAGACATTCCCTCAGAGCCTGACCACCTCAAATCAACCTGTTGACGCATGAAATGACGTTTCTGCTCAGCCGTTGACCTTATTTGCAGAAACTCTTCAGTCCAAAATCTTTTCACTGCACTTTCCAGATGCATTGTGGGAGTTATAGAACAGTTTCATGATATCTTTCCTGCATGTAGATACTGTTATTGGTGAAGGTGCACTTTTTGGTAACCTGATGTGAGAGGTGTCAGAACTCCTGTAAATTCCTAAAAGAACATTATGGAAATGTTCCTAAACACCTAGCATTTCCTAAAAAAAAAAAAAAAAAAAAGTATCTAATGATGCCGTTGTCTATTACACATTGCAGGACTTTATGCAAAATAGAAATTCTTCTGTTTGTTTTCGAGTAGAAGGCTTCTGAGCTTCCAGTTTTTGGACACGCTGCTAAACACATCCCCAAAGCTTGGCACTCCTTTCCTTCTTACATCTTTAAATCTTTGCAGCAAAGCGCTAAAGACTGTTTCCAACAACCTGAATAAGTTGTTACATTCATGCTGATTTTGCACAGTTTCTATCTTAGTCGGTTAAGTAACATGCTGCTGTCATTTTGCACATGTTGCTGCTACTTTCAAATATCCATTTCTGTAAAAATGTTCAGCTGTATATTGGTTATTTTATTCTCCAGGTGCACCGTTTTTATAATGTTAAAACACTTTGCAGTACAGTATTTTGTTGTTTATCTTTTAACTCTTCACTATTATGTTATTTTTATATATTTTTCTAAGGTGTGACCATTTTTTCTATAATCTTTTTGCTGCTGAAAACGCCAGAATTTCCCCATTGTGGGACAATGAAGGGATTTTCTATTCTATTCTAAAGGCTTCCAACTACTGTAAAGCACAAAACGTGACTGGAGGTTTTAATCAATGCTGCTGTTCTGGTGATGATGGAGCTACAATTGCCATGGTTACTCTGTTTTCTGACACACAGTGAAGGTACACGAGAAGCGTGTCCCGCTTTTGTCACCTAAGCTGCAATAGACTAATTAAACATTGATTACTCAGAGCTCTAATACTTTCTAACTTTGTGTGAACGTTTCTATCTGTTAAAGGTTTTTTAAAGTCTTTTCTTCAATGTGAGCCAATTTGATTTATTACAACATAAAGCGCTAAGTGTTATATCAGATATCTGCCTGTGATGCATCTTTTCTGTTTACTGGTATATAAGGTTGCTCTTAGCTTCAATATATAAGCTCTGTCTCTATATAAACTAAAGCTTTTTGCATGTTTTGCTTGTGCAGTTAGCTTTATTTCAGAGGTGCAATCAGGAATGAGTTTCAATCAATATGCTTTTAGCCTTGCGTGAAACGCTTTCAGTGGGTGGTCACAGTTTGCCATAAAACAAGGCTGCTCTTTTCAAATGCAGTTCTATTAGCTCAGACAGAAACAAGTCAGGTGAAGGGTTTCAAACTCTAATTCTCAAGTGCTGATGTCCTGCAACTTTAATTTATGTCCCTGATTAAACACGTTTATAACAAATATAACAGTATTAACTCCTTAGCACGCAGTTAAGTTCTCCTGCTTTGTTATTTGATACAGCAGAGAACAATATAAAGGTTGCAGCGTATGACACCTCTGATATTGGTAAATGGATAAAAAAAAATATATTTTCTCTAAATGAATCCATACATGACAAAAAGTAAAATCTAAGTCAGTCAATTTTTCTTAAAATAAGTGTATTTTTTCTTGAATTTAGCTGGTAAGTGAGAAACTGTCGAATTAAACAATTTACATTAAAAATAATAATTTCAAATGAGAATTAAGCACTTAAATTTCCAGTGCATACTATCTAATTCTTATATTTTAAGGGTAAAAATGGTAATTCCATTGGCAGATCATCTTATAACCTACTCAAATTAAGGTTAAATACTCTATTTCAAGAAATTGTAACTAATTTTTAGAATTAGAGAGATCAACTATTTTCCAGGTGGTGCTTTTATAGGAGCCCGCCATTGAGGTTAAGAATAAAACAGACTCTTCAAACTAAATATTTTAATGTTTGCAAATTACTTGTGAAATTCATTTTTTTTTATTATTAATTACTCAGTTAATTTATGATGTTGCTGAAGTGATTGACATGTTTTATTCTCCACCTAATCCTGTTATTTTGGCTGTCATTTTTTTCATGAAGGCCCTCCAGCTCTGCCAGCTTCTCCTCCGACTCCACATCAAGGTAATCCACAAAACCCACCACAACAGAACCCTTCATCTTTCAGACCTAGAGTAGAAATGTGGATAACCAAAGTAGATACAAGTAAACTCCTTTGTTGGATGCTTCCTAAAGGTCTAAATACCTTAAAAATGGCCCCATTTTTGCAATAATTGTTATGATACTTGTTACAATAGGAGTCCTGATCTCATTAAGATGATCATTTTTGGCAAAGGGTAGCATAATAACTATGAGTCATGCCTGTGCTGACTAGTGGGCTACATGCTGTGATGATGGAGCAATAGACAGCCCAATCCAAGGGCCTGTGTTTCTGTTTTGTGCATTCAGAAATGCCCTCTTGAGTCCGAGGGTGATGAGTCATCGGTGAAAATCTGCAGCTGTAGACATGACAGGAAACTGACGAAAAGGGGTGGGAAATCAAAGTGAGCAGGACACGTCTGATAGCTGACCTCATGTAGGGAAGAGTGGCCTTATTTGAAGATCTCCCTCAGCTTTGATCCTTCTCCACAAATAGTCATTTCAGGCCACAAGAACATGTGATATTTAAAGATTTACCCAACAGGAAAAGATAAAAGAGAAATGAGAGTCAGCGGCCTGCGTTATGACACCAGCCTGTGATTTGTCTCTTACTCGTGTGAGGTTGACGGTGAGTTTCGATTCGACCAAATTGAGTCAGGATTGGCAGAAGTGACTCCTAATATTGCGCTACCATCTCCTCATGGTAGCTTTACCAGATGTCTCTACAAAAATGTGCGAAAGCTTATGCAGAAGATTCCTTTCTCAGAGAGGGATTACAGGTTTTAAGGATTTTACATGTTTTGCTAAAGTCAATAATAAATGTTGCTAAAAAATGTATTTCTGTTTGTGTGATATTATGCAGAAACTTGCTTCATGTTTGCTTTTCCTCTGCAGAGTCATTGAAGGCGACTGTAGCAGTCTGATGCAGCAGAAGCTGGAAAGACAGGTAGGAACTGGAACTTTTTACTGAGACTTATAATATTTCAAAGTTTGTACGATTTCTTATAGTTTTTGCTGTGATGTAGATTCTCCTATCTGACTTATTCTAGCTTAAAGAAAATACGATTTTGGTAGAACTAATTTCAGAGCGATACTCAAACTTTGATTTACAAAAGATTGTAGAAAAAATTCTCATATTTTTATTATTCTACGTCCATTTAGTTTTTTTTATTATATATTTAATGCATGACCTGAACGTCTGCAAAATTTTTAACCTGCAATTGAGAACACAATAAGATCATATTATTAACCTACTCAAATTAAGGATAAATACACTATTTTAATAAACCGTTACTCGTTTTTAGATCATTTGTAGTCTGTATGATTACAGAGATCAAAAAAAAAAAATCATAAAAAGTGACTCTTCTACCAGAGACATCTCCTAACCTGCGGCTGTAAGTGAGGCGCAGCCACAGTGGTTTATTGTTTGGATGCATCTGTGGAATTAAATGCTTCCTGATTTCTCGCAGTGCTTTGTGTCTCCTCGACATCCTGTTATTACAATGCAGCCCTTCCCCTTTATTTCCTCTATTTTTTCATTTAGTGAATTTTTAGATTGACGGAATAAAAAGCAAAAACAAAACATGTTTAACTCATAGTGCACCTCCTTTCTCCCCTCATCTCTCCCTCCTCCCGGCGCTAATGACACTCATTCAGTTAGGAACGGTGACTGCACAGACACAGAAACGGCCTCATTCTGCTGCTTGTTATGATGACAGAGGCCTATTCTGTCAGAGGAGCACATTATGCAAAGGAGGCCGTCAACTTTTTGATTCTGAGCTTCAGAAATGGAGACAAAGATAACCCCGCATTCATTTTCATCTGAGTTCATGAGAGAAAAGGGATCTGTAGCATTTTTGAATGAAACCGATCAGTAAGTTTGGGCAGATATTCTTCATGTCCACAATGGAGAAGGTTTGTATATTTATTCTTTCAATGGTACTTTTACTTTTTGATTTAAATAATTCCAGCTTTTCTCCAGTTAAAGTTATTTTCCTTGAATTGGCTTCAAAACGACTAGAATCAGGTTAATTATCTGCTTTAAACTAACTCCTTAGCTTACATTTTCCCAGATGTTTTTGTTCAGGCAGGAAGAACTGTAAACACCTTAATGAAGACTTCCTGATGTAAAGGTCAACCTCTTAGCCGTAACAAAATAATTGAGCCTTAGAAAAATTCAAATCAGAATAACTCCCTTCTAACTAGATGAGCCACTGATTCCCTCTTTGGAAAATTGGCTCCCATAGTTAAATAAATGCAGTGACATCAGGGACCAATGATTACAACTCCTTTAATCAGCTTATCTGCAGTGTGAAGTGATTGTTTATCCATATTTTTCTGAAAATATGCTTGTTTTTTACAATTTTTTTGTTTCTTTTAGTGTTCAACAGTAACAAAATACCAAACAGACATTTGTAAAAAAAATATTTGGCACACCAGAGCGGTTTAGCAGAGCTCCCAGGAACGTTGGGGATAGAAAAGGGGCCACAGCATCACAGACCCTTCACTAATTATCAGTGGCTATTATAAACTTTTCCCTGTGTTCATCCTCAGTGGAATATCAGAAACACCTGGAGGTTTTATTTCCCTTTTGCTAAAAGAGAAATAACTTTGCTGTAGTATTTAGAAAACTTGGAATGTTTATGTTTTTTTGATGGTAGGAAACAAAATCAAATCTTTTTTTTTTTATCTTCCCCTTAACATCTTCCTAACTTTGTGATTCTAAGATTAATTTGAGTCCTTATCCCGCCTAGTGGCCAGTAGATGAAAGAGTTTAGCCTCCGACATAATTTAAATTAATATATTAAAGATAGTTAAATAATTCTAAATACGGGGTTCCCGCGGGTCCTTAAAAAGTCTTAAAAGGCATTGAATTCTTCAAAATAAAACTAAGGCCTTAACTAAAGCTTTTGTTCGCTTAGCAACATTCTCTAAAGTTGATGCAGCTAGTGCTCCTCTTTTTTTCCAAATTACAGCTGTTGAATATTTTTGAAATTAATATTTATCAAACATGTACCTTTATTTTTATGATAAAACAAGGTCAGTCTCCTGATACTTTCAAGAAATATTTTGTTAAGAACTGCCAAGTGCATTCTTATAATACTAGACAAGCTTTGTCTTTTCATTTACCGTTAAGTATTAAAACTCAAGTGCAATTTTCTTTTCGGCATCGTGGTGCAAAATTATGGAATGAATATGGAAAATATTTGGAATCTTCAAAAATAAATGGTAGAAAGTCTTTGAAAAAAATACTGTTATCCAAAAAAGACAGTGATGTATGATTTTAAAAAAAATTGACCCCCTGAAATCTGAATGCTAAAATGTAAAAATAATGTTACTGTACATGTCTATTCGGTTTTCTCTGAAAGGACTTTCATAATGTGAGCTGCCTGATATTTTGTTGGTTTACGGGTGTGGCCTTGGTATAAGCCCTAAAGGGTTTCTGTCACACTCCATCACATTTTTTATTTTTTATTTTATTCTATTGGTGTATTCTGAGTTTTTATTTTGATCTGTGAAAAAAAAAAAAGAAAAAAATAATTGGTATTAAAATGTCTTAAATCAGTCTTTCGTAGGTCTTAATTTTTAAAACATCATAAATAGGATTATTTTTGTTACGATGTATTTTTGTAATCTAAATAAAACTTTAAAATTGACAATTTTTTTTTTTTAAAAAAATAAATAATGGCTCGCCATTATTGGTTCCGTCCCGATAGCGGAAACCAATAAAGCGTTGTTGCGGCCGGGACATTTGGGAGATGCACCTTTAACTTTTTGTCTGGAAAATATGAGCAAGTGTAAATGTAATGAAAATTGTCTCCAGCCAAGAGTTTTCTCCATGGCTAAAACCAGGGAACATACATGAGGCTCAGTGGATTTTGTGCAAGAAGTCATTCAAGCTCAGAACGATGGGAATTAAGGCAGTGGAGTCGCATGTGAAGCACGAAACATAAAGCGTCAAAATGGAGTTACCGAGAAACAGCCGGTATTTCTCGGTTTTGTTCCACCCTTGTCTCTGCAACGCCTCCACTTATCACCAAATCAAACATACTAAGAAAACCATACAAAGAAAAATAGATGCAAAAAAGACTTAGCACTGGTTATGTTGGGGCTTTAAAACTGATTTGTTTTGTTCCCTGCTAAAACAAAGTTTGTGAATTCAGTTAAATAATTGTTCAAATATATCTGTCATTTGTGTGTTTTTAGCTTTCTTCCTGTATGGGAAGCTTTTCAAAATTTGAAACAGTGCAGTGGTTTATGTTAAAATAAACCTTTGGGTTAAGTTGTTGCAAGCAGGTTTTTCTTGTTTCTTGTGAATTTGGTCTTAGATTTTTATTTCAAGTGGCATTAAAAAGTATTAAAAAGTCTTGAATTTAACTTGCCTTATGCTGTAGGAACCTTGTAAATATTTAATCTAAACCTTTGGGATGAATATATTTAAAGGCATGTTGCACATTTCTTGCTGCCAATGATTGCGTCACATCTGGGTGACCAGATTATCTCATAAGATTCGTTACGGATAGTTTTCCACCTCAGAGTAAAACATACGTCTTTCAGTTTCTCATTGTTAATTGAGCCACTGATGAATCATGAATGAGCTTTTCGCACTTTGCCAAATCTGAGGCTAGGCTTCCTGGTGTCTTTGAGCTCACTAAGCAGCATCCCTCATCAGCATGTGTTGTTGTGCACTTGGCGCACTAATTAATGAGCTTGTATAATCCCAAAGGCTGCTCTGACCAAAGTTGGGTAAGCGAAGGGGGATGAGTTCTTACATTATCACCATGAGGAATTTTCAGAAGCACAATGCATTAAATATGCCTCATTTTCCATCACACTCAAGTAGCAGGTGCAATGCAGACCTTTTTTGTCCATTAAACAGGCTGTTTGCAGGATTTACTGGAAGACACAGCTTGCATGTCATCATGCATATAAATGCAATTACCTCTGGTTGGGTCATTTTTTCCACCTCAACTATATTCATCCTCTTCACATCAGAAACATTGAATAATTCTTTGTAATCAAGTGATCATTTGTCTGGGAAGGTCATGTAGAACAGCTTTTTAAAGCCAAAGGTGTCGTGTGTTTAGAGGGCTCTGCTGGAGCAGAAGCAGCGACGGAAACGTCAGGAACCCATGATGGTCCAGCCCAACACCGAGACCCGACCGCGGCGCTACAGGACGCGGCGAGGAGAGGAGCAGGACCCGCTGGTGGAGTCTCAGATCAGCATCAACAGTGACATCATCATTGATGGTGAGAGAAACACACACAGCAGCCTTTTAAATAAGCCTTTTAATCATATGGTACATAATGTAATGGCTTCATCCCTTCTACTACTGACATCCACCAGTACTGGTTGCTGTTTTACTTGGAGATCTGAACCTCTGATTAGAAGCTTTTACATTTTAAAGGAGAGTTTTAAATCATCAAATGTCGCTCATGTTGAAAGAAAAGTGACGGCTGTAGGTTCCATGTTCTCAAGTTCAAATTAGGGCATCACTAGGTGAGACAGTGAGTTTGCTACAGATTGTTTACATATTTATGGCATATTGTTCATTTGGGATCATTTAAAATAATAGCTAAATTAATCTGATTTCTTTTTAGTGTTAAATTTAGCCAATCCTTAATGCTGGGTTTGTGCATTTTAAATGTAAAGATGTTTAATTATCTTAACTGATGTGAATAGTTGGAAAAAAAAAACTCTGATCTGTTTTTATGCTTTGTTTACAGTATTTCTTAGTCAATCGAAAAAAAACAAACAAAACATAAATAACATGTGCTCTAAGGGAGTGAAGATGCGGCTTCTAACCTATTTTGAATTTAAAAAAGCTTCCTGGATGGGAAGCGAAACATCTTCAAACTTGGAAACAAAGTCCAGTGGATTTTTTTTTTTTTTTTACTTTTTTGTAATGACTATGACCTGGATGACTTAGTTTACTCTAATTTAAACCCTTTAACATTGTTCTACTATTACAGTTCTGGTTCTTGTAAATACCTTGACCTACTCTCACAATTGATGCTTCAAAATTACTTTTATGTTCTATTTATTCTAATACTTTATTGAACATTGGTTGATATATTCCATGAAATTATCCACAGTTATTTTAGTTCACTCAGGAGTCTTAATCTTACATATTATATAATAGCCAACTGAAAATTATACCTCAGTCAGTAAAAATTGGTAAAATATTTAATTTCATGCTTTTTTTGATATTATACTTGTAAATATTACCTGAAGATTTCAGAAGATTCGTAATGATTGAATGTTTGATTTAAAAAATAGGAGTCAGTTGGGAAAAAATGGGAATATGACCTTAGTAGGGTTTGTTTGGCCTGGAGCGTTTTAGTCATGTTTCAATATCAATTCTCATCAGGGATATTGGCCCCCATAGAGAACAGACAACAAATAGAAACAACAAGAAATTAATCTAACAAAAAGGAAATGACAGTCCACCATGGTGGTTTTTACCTTAGAAAACTGCCTCCTATATAAAGGTAACAGAATAATTAAAGAATGAGCTAAATACTTTCCTGTGTTGTTAGGTATCGATGGACCGGCAGCTTTCACAGCTCCAGCAGCTCCTGATCTGGGAACACAAATCCAGGTTCAGTCAGCGAGCCAGTCCCAGTCACCCCAGCCTCATCATCAGCCTCCGTCTCAACCTCAGTCTCCTAAAGCCGAGGAAACAGAAAGAGACGGAGACACCGAGACTCTGCTGGAGCCCAAGACAGACATCCACGAGCTGCTACAGAGGGAAGGTGAGCTTCCAGCAGCAAGTCTACTTTAATTCTGATCTCTAAGCAAAACCAGTATTAGGTTTAAACTATTTCCCTTTTTAACAGTGTCTCCACTGATTGATTTTAAGTTTGGTGCCGCAAAATGTTTCAGTCTCAAACAACCAGATTAGATACAACTGGAAAAGCTCAAATATGGAAAATCTAAGCAAACACGAACAACAAATTATTCAAAACATAATTTGATTTATTTAATAGGCCAGGGATGGGGCTGGGGGTTTCCCTTATATCTACAAAAAGGGAATCATTATTTAGCTAATCCAGTGTTTTTGTAACTTGTTTCAATGTTCTGACTGATCTGTTACTTTAAGTCAAGACTGGATAGTTGTAAAATTTAAAAAATATTGATTTATTCCTCCTCAGTCATTCATCCTCTCACTTTGCCTCATGTATCAGCTCTAGTAACAGTGAAACATACCCTCAGCATGATCCTGCCACCACCATGCTTGGATTAGCACCCATCATTGTGGACAAACAGATACATTATTTGTGTTGTCTGACCATAAAAAAACACAACCTAGAATTACTTTGGGAGAATCGTTTCTTAATCCTGATATAGATTTTACTTCCATCTAGTGGTGAATGGTAGGTATTACAGGGTGTTTGTCTTGAATTAAAAAAAAAAAAAGAAAAAGGTTGTTTTGTATTTTGTCCGGAGCCATTTAAGTCACCAGGAAGATGATGCTTACTGTTAAACAAAATAACAAATAATAAAAAAATGTTTTCTGGATTAGAGCTTTCTCCCTTTAAACCCTCATATTTTCATTACACCAAAGAAAGATACTTGGACAATACAATAATATTTGTTTTATTATGTACAATATGATCTTTCTTAAAAGAGCGGATCACCATGCTGGGTGGAAAAGCTTCTTAGCCCCCTTTCTAGTTCCTATAGTTTAATTCATGAAAGCCACTAGTTGCATTGCACAAAGCTTTACCTGGAGTCCTGCCCTTTAAGAGGTCTGGTAACATTTAGAATATGCATTCCATGATCGTTCCAGCTCTGCATGAGATTTGTTTCTTCCTGGATGTCTTTCAGTTCTCCAACCTCCCCATCCTGCATTTGCCGGCTGATTTACATTCATTTTCGAAGATAAAATACTGAACCAGGAATAAGAATGTTCCAGAAAAAAATCATAAATTTTACAGCAGCTAACTTACTAATCATTTTCAGATGTTTGATTACGTTGGAACTTTAATGTAACCCAAAGCACTGTATTACAGTTTTTATCCTTTCCTGCTTGCTTTAAAATTAGTGGAGCGCCTCTGCTTCCTGAGTGAATGAAAGTTGTTTCCAGCAGCAGCTAAGACCGAGATCTACGCTGATAAATTCACTTAATTTCCCTCTGGAAAAAATCGAAATCTAGATAAGTAAATTTTTTCTTAAAATAAGTGCATTTGTTCTTGAATTGAGGAGATGAAAGAGACATTTTGCCAATGGAACAAGACAAGTTAGATTTAAAATAAGAAGACACAATTGCATTGTCTTATTTCCAGGGCATATTATCAAATGATCTTATTTTAAGGTTTAAAATACTAATTCCATTGGCAAAATATCTAATTTACCTACTCAAATCAAGGGTAAATACACTTAATTTAAGAAATTTTTACTTATTTCTAGATCATTTTTCCAGTGGGATTATTAAAGTATGTCTGATTCTGATTATCAGAAAGATGCCACAGGCCTAAACCCTGCTTGATCATCATTACTGCATGATCACAAAGCTCCCAGTTTTAAGCATTTTAAAGGGAAATGCTGAGAGTAATTTTCAACATACTCTTGACTTAATGGATTCTGTAATAGTGTTCATTTTTACATGGCTTTTTAGAGCTTAACAGTAGAAGACCATGTCTATATTAAAGAATAAATGTCATACAGTAGTCAGTTAAAAAAAAAAATCAATAAAGTAACACCTGGAACCTCCCTCCTTAATCCACTGCCACAGGTTTGTGTGGAAGTATGAACTTTGATGAAACCAGCGAACACGAAGACGATGCGGACGAGAATCAGGTTTCTTCTCTGTCCTCCCAAACCGACGTTACCAGGCCCGCCTCAGCTTCTAGTGGCAAAAACATTCCTGTGAGTTGTTCAGTAGCTTCTGCCGCCTGCTTACCATCTATCTTAGATAATTACGATGTGAATTAAACATAATGTGCTGTTTCCTTTTTTACCAGGAGACGGTAATCCCTGGATCACCTTCTGCAGAAAGCTTCCTTGCAGACTCAGCAAACCTAGAGGAGTTTGTCCTGTCCCCTGCGCCTAGTGGCATCAAAATTAAATGCAGGATTACTCGGGACAAGAAAGGTATGGACCGAGGCCTCTATCCCACATACTACATGCACATGGAGAGAGACGATGGGAAAAAGGTGAGCCGTTAAAATTCAGAGGAAGTAACTGACTTCAAAAACGTCCTTAAACAATAAGTCCTGTCAGATACCTACTTTTAAAAGGCAATTACTCTCTTTAAAGGTTTTTTTGTTGGCTGGAAGGAAGAGAAAGAAGTGCAAAACATCTAACTACCTCATTTCAGTGGATGCCACGGATCTGTCACGAGATGGAGAGAGTTTTATTGGGAAGCTGAGGTGAGCTGCTCATGTTTTCAGCTTTCAGGGTTAGTTTAAGGAAATGCAGTGTTTGGTACAGGTGAGATTTTAGGAATATTTTTGGGGAACATTTTTTTTTGTTTGTTTTTCTCACAAACTGATTATGTATTTTTTTTAGATTAGATACAGTTTTACGTCTACAAACACTGGCCATAACTTACAATATGATGAAAAAGTTGTTTTATTTCACAAATGTTTCAAAAAGAAAAGTTGTCCATCGGTTTCATTACTTACGTTACAATTTTTAAGATAATAACTAACGAAAACCACAAATTTAGTATCTGAGAAAAAGAAAAAAAGAATATTAAAACCAAAAAAACAACAACTAATTTTTCTAAATTTTAGCCAACTAAAAAGTATGAGCCTGTTGGATACTTTATTGGATTACAGCAGCAATGCAGCGGAGTTGGTCAGTCTGTGGGATTACTGAGGTGTTATGAGAGCCCAGGTTGCTCTGATGATGTAACCTGACTCCGCCAGTTGGATTTGCTCCGCATATCCATCTGGAAACCGTCCGTTGAAGTAATTTTGGGAAGGGGCGAAAATACTGGTTAGCTGATTGGCCTATGTTGGTGATAGACGGGCCAAATATACCAATCAGATCAACGAAGCATTGGACGTACTAACAGAGCGATGACGAAAACACGAC